TATATATATATATATATATAAAATGTTACCTGAGCCTGGCCAACGTCTTCACCAAAGCGTACTCTCGTCGCCGTGACGATGGCATCCACCTCTTCTTCTCTGCCCGGGCTAAGCTGCGGCCACCAAAACCAAACATAGCAGAGAATCCGAAACGCACCAGCTGGCCGTTAGACGAGAAGCTGCACATGTCTACCTGCTGCAGGTGACCTGTGATCAGACAGGAGATACCCGGAGTTTTAGCATTACATCCATCTTTTATCTTTTCTTTTTAAAACTTTGTATTATCCAATGGTAATTTTAAAGTAGGCTTTAAACCATTAAATGAACACCACTTTAAAACCATATTGAGAGTTTCAACAGAGAAGTATCACCTTGTAAATGCATTTTAAATGTTGACACAATACAACAACAAAGTTTGATGTGATAATGATATAATGTGATAGATCAACTCTAATTCGTCCATAACAAGGTGTGTCTGTTCCAGCTTTGCACATGTAACTCAAATAATTAAGGTTTGAACTTTTATTAAGCCATTCCTACACAATATATCTCATCCTCCCAATTTTCTGCAGCTTCTCTGTTCCACAGCATGCTGCTGCCTCCACCATGTTTGCCCCTGGCGGTTGTGCGTTCAGGGAATGTTGGAATGTTAGTTTTGTTTTTTTTATTACCCCTATCGTTTGGAATGAAGGCGAGATCCGAGCAGGTTTGCTGATCCCCCAGCACAGAAACATAAGTCTTTTTATGTCTGTCTGATAAAACTGAGCTTTTTCTTGCCAGTCTGACCTATTTAGAAAGACTGACAAGAAAAAACTCAGTTTTATCTTACAGCATGGAAGTCTTCTTGTAGCAGTCGGATAAAACAGTTTTTTTTTTCTTACCAGTCTTTCAAAATATGTCATATTTGTGAGTGTATGACCAAAGAGTTATTCTGTCAACAGATCATTCCACCTGAGCAGTGAATCTATGCAGCTCCTTTGGCGTTATAGTGAGAATCCTTGCTAATGATAGTCATATTGGTTGAACTAAAAAGTACTAATAAATCTGTAGTTGCACTGCATTACAGTGGATTTTTTTTTTTTTTTACTTTTACGGAAACACTGCATTACAATGTTTTTTCTTCATAAAACAGCAAGAAATTGTGAGATTCAATCTCACAATGATGGACTGTATTTAATAATAAATTAAAATGAAAACATTGAAAACAGCATGGAAGGTTTTACACTAATATATTAAAAGTCATATTGTTTAAAAAAACCAACAAAAAAAACGTTTAATGTTATGAAGATTTGACACATGTATGTAATGATACCATCTTTGATTATTCCAGATTTTTAAAGCATAAATTAATACAGTTATTGGAACCGCGTTGTGAGGCAGCAGTAGCAACTAATAATGCCCTAAAATAAAAACGTCTCCTGGTCCCACATCTTTCCTGCAATGGCATCATGAATGAAGTGACCCAACTCCTAATAAAAAAAGATTGAGGGCTAAAAAAGTGACCCCCCAAAAAAAAAGCTTTAACACAGAACATAATTTGTCTTTTCTTTACAAATACCTCAGGAAAGAGGACTAAAGCTAAAGGAGTGAGAAGATTGCATTAAATCTGAATTCATCACCAGGGCCTTATGAGGAAAAAAGCTCGATCAGCTTCCAGAAGGATGTAAACAATTTGTCAGTACCAAACACAAACATGGCGTGCCATCTGGCCATATACCTGCTGTAGCCTACTGCACCACAGTCTCCTCACCTGTCTGACCTACTGACTGCCTGTCTGTCTCTCTGGCTGAATCTGATTTCCTCACCATATGGCTTTTTGTCAGTGTGTTAGTGGAGCTCTGTGTGTTGTGTGGGATTAAAGCTGACACGGTCACTGTGTCACCGAGATCAAACCAGCAGCTCATTTTAAAGGCTCATCTAATATTCATAAGCATCTACAGAACAGGAAAAAACAATTGCTCTTTTAAATTTATTTTCATTCGATTTTCATCCCACCTCTGTAGATATAGGGTTGTGAGAGTAGAAACAATGGGATATGTAAAAAAAAAAAAAAATTCAATTTTGCTGTTATTTTTTTATATACATTTATTCTAATGCAACACCACAATTGTGGTGTATTTCCATTAATGAAGGAGAGGAAACAAATTCTTTTGATTCATAAAATCAAAATTCCCCAAACTTTTAAAAGCTCAGGAATATAATGCATTTATCTCTTTTCTAAAGTTACTCAGTCTTGTTTAAAGTCTCAGTCGGCATGATGCAGATTGCAGCGAGAGGATAGCTTCAAAATGAAAATGTTGCAAGTCCGTCACCAAAACACACTGCACACAAACTTATGAGTTAACATACATTTTTATTAAGTATCAGAAAAATTAAAATTGCTCCACAGAAACTCACAGGCTTCACAGGCAGAAAGCCCTCACAGAGAGGATCCTCAACCCATTGTTGAGTTGAGGGTCCTCTCTGTGAGGGCTTTCTGGAGAGGATTTAGTTTGATGCTTACATTTTTGTTCTCGCTAATGCTTTAGCCTTCAATCTATTTTAGTAGGAGTTTTATTTAGTATGTAGTCATGTGCCAATTGTATCACTTTAAATGAAACATTTAAGACTTTTTAATGTTAAAGGATCATTTTTATTTTTTAAGATATCATTATTTTTTTATGATATTTTGAAACCATTTTCCATTATTTTCACAATATCTCTCTGTCTCTGTGTCGGTCTGCTACAAGAAATCAGTGGGAAATTTCATTGAAAATTGTGATAAACTGTATTTCAGAACTATTTTTATGAATAAATCTACCGAAAGCTTTTAACGTAAGGAATAAATGTGTCTTCACAGCAGTGAGGAAGTTAGCAGAGGGAACAACTGAGCTTTATGAACTGATGAGAATCTATCAGAGGACTACTCTACATTATTTCTTTGATTTCTGTGAAGAATTTCAGAATGTAAGAAAACAAGTTTGATAAAATGTAGAAAAAAATAGAGAGTTAAAATAAATCAGTGGGATTACAGAAGATATTTTAATTTACTTAATTTCTATCCAAGTGTTTCCGCCCGATTTTGACTCTCTTGCACAGATTTTACTCCTATTCGTGTCACTTAATACTCCCACCTCTCTCTGTCTCACACATACAAACACACACACACCAGCTAGAAGTATTAATTATGTATGGTGAACCATCACGCCAAAAGCTGTCAAACAAAAACAACAACAAGCGTCTCTGCAAGCTGATTGGGCGAAAGATTTACCTGCGAGGAAACGGACAGAGGTGAAGAGGGTTTGTTTGGGGGGACGAGGGGGGCGGGACCACAATGAGGAGGGAAAACCTGTGATTTAGTGAAACTGATCCTACAGTCGGACATCTGTCGGCTCCCCTCCCTCCAGAGTCCAGTACCACCATCTGTCTGCATGTTTGTTGTTTTTTTAAACTCTGCTCTCCTTTGCCACTCTAATGGAACGACAGCCAATCACATCCAAGTTTGGGAACAATATAAGCCTCTGATTGGGTGGAAAATTTTGAATGAATTGAATTTAACTATGGATTCACTACAGGTTGAAGACACAATGAGGGACCAGATATTTTAGAAGTAAAAAAGATAGAATGTACTTAGAACAGATGTTCACACTGGTCATCTAGAACAGTCAGAGGGCAATTCCTTTTTCATAGCATAAGAGCAACATCAAATCAGAAAATACTTTCAATTACTGATGAATAAATTAATATTTTTTGTGTTTTGCAGGCAACATTCCTCCATTCGCACACGTTCATATCAGATCTTTTTTTATCAAATGGTGTGAAATGTTTTGAAGCTGAAAATATTGTCTGTCCATTGATGCTCTACTTAATGTCTAACCTGATCTGCTTCTTTAACATCACCCAGACTCAGATATGTCCACTGTAAATCTATCAACACAACCTTTATACCCCACTTTACAGAAACGGATCATAGACCTATAACATGCAGAATCTGTTTACCATAGATCATCTAATGTCCAGGACATTGAATCAGGTAGAATCCTGTACAGTCTAATGCTAGATATCAAACAAAAGGAGCGTACCTAAAACAATGTGGAGGGCAGCTGTGACTGGATCTCTGACCCCATGGACCGAACAGGAAACCACGTCTGTAGAACCTGATGAAGCAGAAACCAAAAAAAGTTAAAGATTTACGGGTTCGGTCATTTTTTTATGGTGTATGGATTAAATAAGGCTTTTACCAGCAGGAATGATTCCCAGTGGCAGCACTGCTCTCACTGGTTTTTCTGGAGAATTGGCATCTAGCTGAGCTCTGAGAACCAGAGCGTGGCACAGTTCTGCCACCGATCCGTCCCCACCAACACACACCACCCTGACAGACAGGTGAAAACACAGCTCCTTCAGGACAGGCAGGTGGGGTTAAGGGTCTTTGCTCAGAGAGCCAGAGTGGCACTCTGTGGGAGTGGGGCTTGAACCTCAGGATTCCAAGCTCTATGCCCTAACCACTAGGCCACCACTCCCCCTAATCACGACTGTAAACCTAACAAGACATGGAGTTTCACATCAAATATAAAAAGAATAGTTTAAGAATGCCCAGTCAAATCCATGCTTAATTTAAACTGGTATTAGCAGATTGTCTCTGTCCATTATGAAAGAGACAAAGCTGTTAATAGGCACAGACATATTCTGTTTTCGCAAAGCCGTTAGAGACATAACCCAAAATATATGCAGCTGAAATTATAGCATAAGGTGTTTTTTCGACAAAGTATTTACTTTATGAAGATGTTCTATTTCTAAAGACTTTGAAAACTGTTGATTCATTTCGTGTCTTGTCGGAGTAATGTGCTATGTTGTGTTTTTCTTTAACATAAAATGGCAAATAAACAATATTAAAGTTTGTGTTTCTTACATTAATAGATGCGGAAAAGTTTGAGATGTGAACACTTTTGCAAGGGACAAAGGTTCATAAGTAGGGAAGACCTGCATTATTCAACTATTGTTTTATTGCTGAATAAAACTGAAGCATTTTACAAATATTTGTGAATGTGTCAGCATATTTCATTACAAGATACACGACACTAAACTCGTCCTGGAAGCCATTTCTCATCGGTCTTTGCAAGAGACATACAGCATGAGATGATCCTGGAAAAATAGCAGGTATGATTTTTATATTAAGCTCTGAATATCCTCCCCTTCACAATAAAAGCATTTCTCACTTTGAAACAGGCAGACATCAATCTGCTGAACAACATATTGGTGAAAAACAAACATTAATTTGACGGTAAAGACACTCTGGGAAAAAAACAAGCTTCATTGCAACCAAAATAAACACAGATTTACTGTTAAAGAAATTTATATAAATAAACCAAAAGGATCTTAGTCATTTGATGTTGAAGAGGAAATTTTAATAGTATGATAATAACACTATAAAGTCATTTATTTATTTCAAGGTTCACGTTTGCAGTAAATAGGAGATAAACTGGCTCCACCCCCATCCCCCTCTTCCTGGGCATGGGATTACCTGAAACTCCGGTCTCCACGGTGACAGCCAGCCTAATTGGCAAATGTAGGTTTCAACCAAATCCTCACCAGTAGCCTCACACACACACCCACCCACCCACACACACACACACACACTCAGCAGCTAACTTAGCAACGCTGAGCTAATCTTCTCTAAGCACATTAAGCTTTATGAGTGCTGAGCACAAAAGCTGCTTACACACACACACACACACACATCCCGCCTCACACACCATAACACCAATACAGCGATGAGAGTTTGGTAAAGTTTTTATCTTCTTGAAGAACATAAGATTCTTCCACAATATGAAATTTATGTTCTTACAGCTCACTCCATCTTGGGTAGAACAACAAGGTCCATGTGCAACTTGTAACCTGTGTTGTCAGACTGGTGAAGGTTTAGGTACGTGCATGTGAGAGAGGTCAGTTTGGGTCAGTGTGTTTTAGTGTCGGCCTCTGACAGTAAACCTCCGTTTGATTACATGCTTCCCTTCGGTACATTTTAAAGCCAGGGAGTCACATCTGTATCTTTAGTTTTGTTTATCTTTGGCATCTCAGATATTTTCTACAGTCAAAGTCATAAAATAGGGGTGTTGATGGGGAGGTGTTTCCATTTTAAAACTCATCTCTAAAGATAATCATCAAACAGTGGAAACAAGCAAAAAATTAGGTCAGCAAACATAAGAAGCTTTTAATTAATTTAATGTCAATGGGGATTTTACTTGTGATTATTCGGAAGGGTGTGAATAATTTTCCCACGCCACTTTTTTAACAAAATTACTATGTTTTTTTGTTGATTATAGAAATGTGGTTACATATATTTAGCAGCAACAAGTACTGCCTATACAACATTCTGTCTGTTAATCATCAAACAGGCAATATTTTATACAGTGGTATAGGAATCGTGTCAGATAATTTCAGTCTTTATAGACAGTTGGAAAAAATATATATTTTTGAAGGCTGTACAGTTATTAGGTTATTGTCACTGCCTTCTTTGCATGAGTTAGCAGGGTCTAAATCCCTACTGGTACCTTTGTTTGTAAAGCTTTAACGTTCTTTTTATTTCATTCGCATTGTGTATGTTTTTAGTCACATGGTCACATTTAGTAACAACATCCAAAAACATGCATATCAGATGAACTGAGCAATTTAGAATATGTGTGAGTGGTATATCCACGCTTATTTTGTCCTTTAATTTTTCTCTGTTTCCTTATTATAGACATTGTCTCTTGCCAGATGATTGCTAGAGATTTCCTGGAAAAACAGCTGCCCTGTAACTAGTGTTGCACCGATACCGATACCAGTATCGGACGGGGCCCCGATACTGCCCTAAAATGGTGTTATCGGTATCGGCGAGTACCAACAAATAGAGCACCGATACCATTTTGAGAGCCATAAGTTTATTCAACTATTGTCACTCCTGGTAGGCAATAAAAAGTTCTAATGGATTCACTTTGTATTAGATTTTTTTCCTGCTTCACAAAGGTAGGCAGCAGCTTGACAAAGCCATGATGGCAATTATTTTACATTATTATGGTATCGGTATCGGCCAATACTGCACAGCCAGGTATCGGGTATTGGTATCGGGGCCAAAAAATGGCATCGGCGCAACACTACCTGTAACAGTCTAGTGAGTATAAAATAGCATGGATAAAAGTAATTTAAGTGATAATAGTTCAGTAATTAGGTCATTTGTTTCCAATCACCTTATAGTAGTCATAACTTTAGACATTAGCCGTAGAGTGACCCATTTTTTGAGATGAAGTGAAATGTAATATGGTGGGTCAAACAATGATGTGGTACTGAATCAATACAGGCCTGAATAGATCTATATCAAATAAATCACATTTATTTATTTTTTTATTTCACAAGTTCTTTGAGCTGACTTTTTCTACAATGCAATAATTTTCCTGCATTTTAATATAGTAGTTACATAACATAATATATCATAAAAATAATATCACTAAGTTTTTCACACAAATTTATTGATAACCTTGAAAAAAAAATTTGTTTTTTTTTGTTGATATGAGAAACAACAAAGAAACCACTAACCCATCATATTCATCCAGTTTGCATTCCTTCATCACTGAGAGAGCATGACCCTTCCTATCGGTTACTGCAGAGACAAACAGAAATAAAGACACAGAGGGAGAGACAGAAGGAGAAAAAGGAGAAGTAAGCAGATGGAGAGACATTGAGATGGACAAAGATAAAGTGTTCGTGCATGTGTGTGGTCAGATGAACACGAGTGTGCTCTTGATAGCTGCCAAAGAAAAAAGTGGGACAACGGATATTGTGCCATCTGCTGAGAGAAGGGAAAGGAGGAGAAACTGTGAGAAAAGGGGAGAGAAGGCCGGAGAGGAGGAATTATAGAGAAGATGAAAGAAGGAGAGAGAAGGAGAAGAGGGTAAAAACAGGGAAAGGAAAGGAAGTTGTGCCCCACTGTCATAACAGATGGACTTGGCTCCGCCTTCAGGATCAGGTTACCTAGCGACCAGAAACTGCCATTAGCTCTGACCTTTGGACCTGGACACTTAAGAGCACACAGAGATTTCATATTGTTTTCTTTTACATCGATACACAAATAAGTTTTGTGTAGCAGTTGGACCAACTCTGATCAGAATAGTGATGTTGAAAACTAGTAAATAAATGACTGAACGTCATTTCTAAATGTGTTGTTGAGGGAGAGATAAACAGCAGGAAGGGCCGACCTGTGATATCGGTGCGGATGTCAGCCATCTTGAAAAGGGGAGCCACATGGTCTCTGTAGATATGAACGGCCTCCTTCTTGTGGCTGCTTGGGTTGATGAACACCTTCACATACCTGGGCCGGCTGCTGAACCCTGCATAGACACATGAATTCACTGCATTTAACACCTTCATCCCTGCAATCAGTGATAAGTTTGAGAAAACTCTACAGTATCTAGATCACAGAGAAAAGTCAGCTGTCTCGTTCATGTCTGATGTCTGAATGGACATCTAGAAAGTGAGAAGGTGCACGCAAATTCCCCGTTATTGAGCAACAATAGCACCTCTTTTAGAGCTGCCTGTCTATTAATGATTCCGGGAACAAAATGCAAAAACATCAGCTCAGCTTACATAAAAAAAACAACAAAAAAAAACATTTTTTGGTGGATTAAACTCTCAGTCTACTGCACAATTAAAAACCAAAACATTAACAGATTTACAGTTCCTCTCAGGTGATTGGCTGCAATCTTCCATCTCTCCAGGATCTGTACGCCTCCAGGACTCTGAGGCGTGCAGGAAAGATTGGGGCTGATCCCTCACACCCCAGCCACAAACTATTTAATACACCTCCCTCTGGTAGGACGCTGCCATCCATTAGGACCAAAACCTCACGCCTCAAGAACAGTTTCTTCCCATCTGCTAGCAGCCTTATCAACAAGGCCTGGGGACCCCCATGACACTGACACTGCCTCTCTCCCTCCCCCGTTCAGGACCTAGAAGCTACACCAACGTAGCATCTCCAGACCTCCTGCATTACATAAACGCACAGCCTACTGTGTGTATAGTATATAGCTATATACTATATACTATATATTGTATGCAGTATATTGTATGTTTGATATTGAATATAACTCTAGATCCTGTATTTTGTATAGGACTATATATATAATTTGTCTGCACAATCAACAAAAAGTCAAATTCCTTGCAAGTACAAACCTACTTGGCAATTAATATAATTCTGATTCCCAGAGCAGTAGTTTTGGATCACAAGACAAATGGGAATGTGTTATCATTCCTCTGCTTCTCACTTGAAAACATATATGGAAGGTATGAAGAAAAACATAACTGAAGCCACAAAAAATAATGTAAAGCCATACATGGAGCAACATGTGTATCAGGAAGTCCAGAACACTGTTAAAAATGTGAGTGCTAACAATGTTAGTTTAGGTGAATCCATAAGAATAACCAGAGCTAACCCTGTGATGGACCGAGTCCTGGGCTATCTCCATAGTTATGCTGCTATAGGCTTAGACTGCTGGAGGACAGAGGGACCCATTTTTCATCATTCTGCTTCATTCTATCTTTATCCTCACAGTCTGCAGAATTTGCTAGTTCAATCTCTAATGTTATGCTCTCTCTGCTTTTTCTTATACTGTGTTAGCTTCATGTGGTCTGTTCCTGTTTGGCTGTGACACCATCCTGGAGCGAAATATAAGCTGTGCTGCTGCCATCAACACGTTTGTTTATAGATGTTCAAGCTTGGCCTGTTTTTCAGTGTAGTCCTGTTTCTCTGACAGTGATTGGCTGGATGTGCCCTCTTTGTCCTCTGACACGGGAGCTGGCTCAGAGCTCGTCTGCAATTCCTGGACAGGGCTACCTGTGGAGCTGGTTGACAGTTGGCTTTTGTACGGTATCTCTGATTCTTTCTTTATGTCTGCTTCTGTCTCCTTGAACCCCCGTCAGCCTCGGCAGATAGCCGCATACACCGAGCCTGGTTCTGCTGGAGGTTTCTTCCTGTTAAAAGGGAGTTTTTCCTCTCCACTGTTGCTACAAGCATGCTTTGAGTGAGGGATTGGCTTTGAGTCAATGAGTTGATGCAATCAACTGGTTTAACTTAGATAGAAAACTTTATATCAATTTGAATGTATGATCTGGTTGAATTGTACAGGGCTTTGAGATTACATGTGTTGTGAATTGGAGCTATATAAAATATCTGAATTGAATCATTTTGGAAATACAGCAAATTGATCCTTTTCTTTTTATCTTTTGCTCTTTCGTAAGGAAAGGAGTTATTTGCAGGTCTGTAAGCCTATGTAATTGGGAAAGTAAATAAAAGCAGGCCTGCTCTGAAAATAGATTCACTATACAAATAGTATCTGTCACATCTATGTCATATATAATAGTTTGCATCCAATCTTAGGTCTGTTCATAATTTCGAAAAATAATTTCTCATTGAAAATTTTCGGTAGATGTTAGGAGGAGGGTGAGGAGTTGGCAAATGAGTGCAGGGCCAGTTGACCCCCTCTTTGATTTTAGAGAAAATGAACAAGATACATGTTTTGACATCACTAGAATATCTTGTATAATTGTACAGAGGCCAAATAATAGTTTTTAAACATGTTTGACTTGAATGGTATGTTTTTGTAACAGCTGTGTTGAAATATATCTAGTCTTTATGCGTTCAGTACAATTTCCTTTGCGAATCAAAAGAAGAAATAAAGAAAATGTTGGTACCAAATAGTGGAAAACTGGGGTAAACTGCATTGTTTTATCGATTCCACCCTTAGCTAAAGAACCAGAATAGATTATGTTTTTATTAATGAAATAAAGAAGCTATGAACAAGATTACAGCTTAAAATCAGAGCAAGTTTGATGAAAAGATTAAATTATATAGCCTCACTTAAATATAATGTTTTAATTTGTATCCTTTAAATCTAAAACTCTGATTCAGAGTGTGTGTGTGTGTGTGTGTGAATGTATGTGTGTGGTTTTACAGGACTGTCTCCAAAATACACAAACTCGCAGAGGCTCCCCCATACAGCTCGTCATTAGGCAGATTTAGAGACCGCATTATGAATCCCCATAGACTAAGTTAGATCAATACACACACACCAGCTCCATTATCCAGCTCATGACTATAATCTGCTCCCAACAGGCCGTGACCTCGCCCCACTAATGACCCCACATGCACACACAAAGTGCACCTCCTACCATCACTCCATAGTTCTGTCCAGGTTCTCCGGAGATCTTATGAGGAGCCACCTGACACCTTCATCACATCGGACCCCCAACAGTACAAGAAGCCACACCCTCTATTAAAAAAAACCCCGACAGCAATCTATTATTTATGAAATTTCTTAAATTAATATATTAAAGAATCATTGCTGATACAGAATGGATAAAATAGGTATTGAAGGGCTCAGGGATTTCCTTGGTTTAAATAGTTCTAATCAGAAGAATAAAAATAATTGTACTAGGTAATAGACACTTTCAAAGTAATTAAAGCTAATTAATTGAAATTTGAAGTAGAAATTTGAATAAACAGCAAATAAATATTGAATATGGTTATAGAAATATATTCAACAATTTGTGGAAAAGCCTTTTAGGGTAATAACAACATCCAGACGTCTCCTGTATGGAGAGGCTAATCACCCAAACTGCTCAGGAATGAGTTTTGACCAATTCTTCTAAACAGATTGTCTTTATATAGTGAAGGTTTGTACATAGTGGCACGTATTAATGCCAAACTTGTCATAGATTTTGCATATTTCACAGTAATAAGCAAAGGTGTTCTTCCTCCAAGCAAGGAGTGTGACATGATAGCTTTGGCATCCCCTAACCAAGTTCAATTTCTTCTTGCTTTTAGTCAAACAACTATGGCTGATATCTACAAGTCTTTCTTAAGCTCTCTGTGAAAGTCCCTTTT